ACGAGGCAAGCATGCAATGTCAGCACGGATTACACAGGCGCCGGCCCAAGCGGAGCTGTAACACTCCTCTGAATCATGATCGGCCTCCGCATCTGGGACAGTTTGCACGTGATTGCATCTGCGTGGAGTTCAGTTACGGGCAGAGCGGCATTGACTCCTGCACAGGCAAAATGCAGTGCGTCACAATGACTCACGCGTGAACATAAAGCAAGCACCACCATGCCTGTGGGAGACTGGAGCACCTCAGAACGACTGGCTTTCTGGCACGACCACTACCACAGGCCGAGCAGTTACAGAGTCAGCGACCGCCATTTGAAACACGGCTGCTTCAACGGCCCATCAGGTAGACAAGGAACTGCTGTGCACAGAAGCAAGCCTTCTATTTGTTGCTTGTTCACCTTGCTTGTGATTGGGTGCATTCTGCGACGACTAAATGCCAGGAATGAGTTGGAATCTTTTAGGAGTCGGCACGAACTACTCAAAGGACTGACTGCAAGCATTCAATGAAATCTCAGTGTGACATGCTTTCGTGGGCGAACCCGTCTTGCCAACTACCGGCGGCTGCGAGAGCTGCAATCCGAGCAGATGTTTAACTGCTTAACTTCCCAGAAGGCTGCAGCATCTGAGTCGAAAACACTGACTCGAATGCAGGCACTCCCACCAGCTGTTTTTCAGGTGGCAATTGTCACATCCAGCTTGGAACGCTTTGCTGCTGGCTCCTGTGCCTCAGGAAATTGGACTCACGAGGAACAACTCGTAAACGATGCAATACCGAAGCAAGTCAAACTTCCCAGAACAGCAAATGCAAAGACCCACCTATGAATTTCCTTTGTCCACTTCTTTCCATCCGGATGGTTGCAAGCAGTTCTCGGGCTTAGCTCGATGTGCGCCTTAGCTGCAAACCTTTCTAGGAGGCGCGAACGAACTAGCGACTGTACCGTTCACTGTACTGTTCTGTACGCCTCGAAGCCGCCCTCCAGCGCGCACTCCGGCAGCTGCGAGGACAAATCTGCGAACAGTTGCCGAACCTCTCCTCTGTAGTCGAGGGATCTCTGTCGAATATCCGATAAAATTTCAATTTCAATATTCGGAACCGGAAGGAAACTGTAACAGAAGAATCCATAGAGCAAACCCAAGTAGCTCTGATCACTGGCACGAGGCTCAAATCCATGCAGCATCCTTTAATTATACTTTATTGAAGGCCTGCTCGGCAGAAGAATTCTCGATCCAGCATTACAGGTCGACGGCAGGCACTGCGAGCAACGCTCCGAAACCGTTGGTGGAGCTTGCGAGATCAAGGAAGGGAATCCTCCAAGCACGAGTGAGCGCTTCGGCGAACCCCGTGTATCCTGGCGAAGGCATGCCCAAAGGCGCATCCAGAGGAGCCCGTCTTTCACTGGGGCTCAACACACGAAGCGGAGAGAAGATGTTGCTTGGTGAGGTCTGGCAGTCCACGTGCTGTGACAGGGGTTGCCGCGGTGTTGGTGCAAGTCAAGCGGCTGGAAAGCGAACGGCCGACTTTGCCGAAAATCCTCGTACAAGTGCAAACTATTCGTGCCAGTCGAGGCCGACATTCAGATGCAGATAGGTGGCAGCAAGCCAGATAATTCTGGAGGGCGGCCACACCGAAAGAGCTCGCCGGTGCAGGACGTTGGGCCACAAAGAGCGCAGCCACCAAACCGAGGAGCGAAGTGCGACCACAACATCGGTGGGCACCTGGGCAAAACCAGCCTGCACTCTCGGGTTCCGAAGCAACGCCGAACGCAAGCGAGCCTGTAAGCCCCTGCTTGATAACGCTATGACACCAGAACCGAGAACAAAACCGGTAAATGGTCAAATCCAAATCAACTCGGCAGAGAAATAGGACAACGACGCTGAGAAATGCTGAGAAACAGCGGGAACAAAAGGTCACAACATGGAACAAAATCAATAAATCACAAGCCGATGGGGTGCAACAGTTGCTCCGTAGCTGTTGTCGCTGTTGCACAGCTGACTTTGCTTTAGGTTGACAGGCAAAGAACAGCGCGCCCGGTACCAAGGAACACCTCTACGGCTAGCTGGACATGACGACAGCACAGCCGCTGTCAACGAAGCAGTATCCGAATTGGGTCTCAGGTCCGGTTCCCTGGGCTGAGACAGAAATCGCACTAGGATGCACCCATTCTAGGTACACAGCTGAAGCCTCGGACGACGCTATCTGTCAATCCGGGTTCCTGTGCTGACTTTGACCCGGCATCGAGAATCCCGCACCAGGCAGTCTCTGCCTGCGCTTCTCTCTTACTGTGGTGAGCCCCACACCAGCCACGGCAGAATCATCCATACCGTGCAGACGGGGCTGCTTACCTGGCAGCCTCAGCTGCTAACTCGACCCGGCGGCGCAGGGCCACGCGAGCTGGATGGCTTCTGACAAGCACACAAAGCTATTGAAGCATCTCTGCATGGAGGACAGCCGCGTCTGTGCTGCAACGGCCCTGGCGATCTGGAGGAGCACCTTGCCCACGGACTCTTCCTTCTCGTGGACCATATGGACACTAATGAGATGCCTTGGCGGGAGCAGGCCTGCTCAGCGAGGTCGAGTGCTGCTGGAGTGCTTGCCAGGGTCGGCACGAATACGTCAGCGGGGCGCCTGCCGGCGTCACCCGTCGCTTCAGGCCGCTGTCCGGCATGCAAGGAGTGGGTGTCCAGGACTCCATTGCACTTCGGGCACCAGGCATCACAGCTGGAGTCAGGCATGTGTAGCCGTTGCCGCAGCTCAGTGACGAAGGCTGCCGTCTCCATCCTTTTTGCGGCCGTGGGGAATGGCTGCCAGGAAAGCCCTGGCACCGCTTCGGAGAGCGGAACTTTCGCAGACGTCGAATCGCCGAAGCTCCGTCCAGCTGCCGCCGCCCGCTGGCTGCGTCTGCAGCTGAAGTGAGGGCCTTTTGCCTCATGCCCAGAGGCATTTGAAGGCCAATGGGCTCAGGCAAGCTCGCCGCAATGCCCGCGTCAGGCGTCCGCTGCCGTCAGGGCGCTGGAGGAGGTGAGGAGGGAAGTGTAGTGGCAAGCCAGCAGCGTCCAGGCGCCGGACCCTAATGACCTAATGAGCTCGTTGGAGGCGTGCCAGAGCGGCTGCCACGGCAGCCATGTCCGCAGGTAAGAAGCCGTCGTCCAAGTAGACGGCCAGATCCAAGCGGCACAAAGAAGGGGTCCAAGCGGATCTCCGTGCGGAGCTCCCGCAGCTGACTGCACAGCAAATCCACGTCCAAAGCGCAGCGTTGAGGGTTGGCCGTGGCACCAAGTTGTCCAGCGCCTTAGGCCCGGGAAGTGAGCGGGGGCTGGCGCAAGGACCACGCCGCGATACAGGGTTGAACGCATTGGCAAAGTCGAGCTTGATGGCAACCTTGCCCGTGGACGCGGTATGTCGTCCGAGCCAGGCCCGGACCGCGTGCACCGCGCTCTCAGCACCTGCCCGCACTCCAATTCCAACCTGCGTGGGGAAGAAGAACTGCTAGGTCTGGCTGGTTAAGCGACGGAGCATTTCACCATGGGGCCTGGCCCCGCCATTGGGCTTGGGCACCGCCACGAGGGAGGCGCAGGCCATCACAGGCGCCACATCTGCACAGGCCCGTCTTTGAAGGAGGAGGCCAACCTCCGCCGAAAGTTGTTCCAGCATCGCAACCGAGGCACCCGGCGGAGCAGCTTCCCGCACGTGCTGCACCCGCAAGCCGCACGGGCCAGGCGCAGTGTCAGCCGGGAAAGTGCGAAGAGCCTTGGATACCATGTCCGCACGACTTCAAAGCCCAGCGGTAGGTTGTCCTGTGCAGCTCCCGCGTGAGGGCCTGTCCCCATGGGCAGCAGCTGCAGCTGACTTTTTTAGAGGATGAGCTGCCTGTAATGATGTGGCCGGCACACCATCTCCCACGATGGCTGTCAACACGGTGTCACTGTCAGTTGCTAACGTCTGCGCACCGCCGTGAAAGAGTCTGTTTCTGCACTGTTCGTGTTGCCTAATTTCACGCAGGCGAGCTGCTCTTCGTTCAAGGACTTGAGGGGCGGGGCCAGGGGAACGGAAAGCTAGCCTATGCCCTGCAGGGACAGCAAGCGAAACAGAGCCGGCGAGGCGGGCTCCAAGCATCATCACATTCAATCACACCGGAAACAGATAGGGCAACATCACCCACATCAACAAGTCAGCAACAGGGTGGGGGGGATGCTAACGCATATAGAAACGAAAGCTTCGCTACGCTAGCTTTCGTGATTTGCCTTGCGCCGTCACCGATGTCGCTCTCTTTGACGAACACGCTCTGGCAGCGGTGGCGTTGCTTATCGACACTCGTCGTTGGCGTTTGGCAACAGGCTCAGGCTCACCCGAAGCGATGGTGGAACGTTAAAACTCAACAATAGTGTATGCTCTGCTCACACAACATCTCTAAGCAATTGTTTGTGAAACTGTCTGGACCTGCCAATGAACACGTTGCCCGACTACCAGCAGAAACAGGCATGCACCATCGCAGCCGCTGGCCCATGCTGGCCACAAGCCTAAACAAAATCTATGACGAACAATTTAAAATAATCGGCTATTCCTGTCTTAGCTGAGCAGTGGTGATATGCTAGAGGAGTATACGAACAATCCTCGAATGGGGGGGTGACTGGTGGTATTTTTACCCAAAATGGGCCAAGGTGCTGCTTAGTCTAAAGACTTACCTTCGCAAACGCTTGAGGCCAGAGACTGCCACCTAGGGTCCTCGGTCCTCTCTTTTGGCTTTCACAACACACAGAAGCAGTGACATCCGGCTGAGGCATGGGCGGCAACGCTGGACCTGATTGCATCACCCACCCCTAAACTTTTACAACACACCTTGGTTTTGCTTGATGCTCCCCACGGCCAGTCGCATTGCCACCATGTCCGGCCATGATTGTCCAGACACCAACAGCTCCAAGTCCCGCACAATGTCGGCAGGCCTGCAATGAAGATCTCTCATGGCTCGTATCTTTTGCACAGGGTTGCAGATCGTTCGCACCTCCGATGGGCACTCCCATCGCACCATGTAGGTGAGCCTCATGGATTACGAAGAAACATTCCGCAAAATGTTGCGCAAACACCAACTTCAGGCCGTTGCGGGCGCCATCGGACCGGTGTTGATGCCTTCACAGGTCAGAAAGAGCTGCCGCTTGCGAAGTTGCTAACATTCATTCAGACGGTGTACTTTCGGCGAAATCGTCAGGAGTGAAAATAGACCGCCCAGGCGTCCATGCATCGCAGAGCGTCCCTCGAATCACCCTTTCATCTGGCAGTAACATGCTTTGGCTAAGATCTGCCCTCAAGACAAGCATGCCTGCCCAAGCTCAAACGAAACAGATTCCGACCACCATGGCTGACACGCATATAGCAAGGCCGAGCTGAAGACCCACCATAGGCTGAGCGCCCATGGCCCTGGCATGTCCACGCAATGGTTAATCCATCCCACAGTCCTATGACTCTTTTCTGGCCAGCAAAGGGCCGCAATTCGGAAACGCCAAGTGCCCTGCTTCTCCTATACCTTGGAATTCATCAACCCTCGGGCCAGCAGCACTGGGATGAACATGCCCCGCAGCCGGTGCAGCCCAAACTTCGAGGCTGGCTTGAGAAGCCTGCGAGCTCAGCACATCCCACCTCTCTCGCACCAGCCTGAACGACTGAGCCAAGACGCCTGGTTGCGCAGCTGATTGCATGGCCTTCGGGCGCCGAGAAATCGCAGGCGGTTAAAGGCAAGTGAAAGGCTTGGCTGCAGTCGAAGCACAGCATGCGGAGGACCCATCAAACCAGGCAGCCTCAAGGCAGCGCGAAATTCAGGTAAGCTCGGCATCCGGGAAGTTGAGCTCAACGCATTCCGGCCATGTGTGTCTGTGTACCTTCTTGAAGGTCCATAGAGAGAAGCATACGCAGACGATCTACGAGCCTTGCACCGGGAAGTGTGGGATGCAACCCATCCTCAGTGCATCCTCTTCCCTCCTCTTGCAAACCGAGCAGGGAATCCAAGGCGCAGGCGCTGCTGTGGGACCTTGGCACGCGATCCCCGCCTCGAACCCCGTCTGCCCTTTCCCTCTGAGTATCCTGGTTTTCGCGCTCGCTCTCGAACGTGGCAGGCGAGGATTCGGAAGGCAGCTGAACACATTCACCTAACTCACGACTCATCTCGAGCTCTTCTTTATCGCGCTACCTCTGGAAAAGATTTTTGCTGGCAACAACCTTGCGATACTTTGGTTGCATCAACAAACAAGCACCGGACGCCCTCGAGCGTTGCGCTTCTCTCGCTTTGCCGCTTCTGCGATACTGCACGTCCAGCGACACAGGCATCTGTCCCGGAATGCCAGCATGTGCCGCTGCCCTCCCTGTAGAGCCCTAGGGGCGTGGCCAAGTAACGGAGGCCGCTGAGAGAGCCTGGGCCAGGACCGAATGAGAGATGCTAAAAGGTCGAGAATCCCACACATTGGTGGAGAAGTGAAAATCCCGGCAACATCCAACGGTACCTGAGAAGCGTACGTCGCTGGCAGTCCAGAGACGAGCGTGGTAGGCATGAACCCCATGCTCAACCTGAAGGTCTACAAAGGCACGCGCTCGGTTGCCGCTTCAAGCAGGGAGCTTTGAATACTCACTGTCATTGTCACTTTCGCTTTTGGTGTACACAGCCATATCGCTTATCGGACTCGGCAACTTTGGCCAGCACGTCACAGAAAGTGGAGGCCTTTCTGCCTGTCCTGCTCAGGCGTCCTGCAGACAGTACGTGTGCACTTCAGCCTGATGGAACCATACTCAGTTCTGCTCGCGAGCTGTCCTGCAGCGCAAAGCAGCGATGTGCAAGACCTCCTCACGACAGCTCATGAAAGCTCGGAACTTTTCGGAAAACACAAGCAAGGACTCTAAGTCATAAAATCATTCAAGAAGACCGAGCAGCTAGGGGGCACATCGACTGCATTGGCCAAAGGCCTCGTTGGAGGTCAGGCGGTGCGCTTGCCTGAGAGCCACAGCTTGAAAGCATTGATCCCCCGTCTCGAACAGCATGTAGGTGGCAAGCTGCGATGGCTAAGGCCACCACAGCGCCCGCAGGCTGCGTCACCCCTCTGAGGCACGGAGATTCCATGAGGTACGTGAGTTGTACTGCGGCTTTGTCTGCGATCGCCTTTGCAACTTGGGCTTGCTGCTCCACGAAGCGCATGCTTTCCATGGCCCGGAGTGCATTGGCGACCTCATGTCTCGACCAATGCAGCGCCGTGAAGGCAAGCTGGCCAGGGCTGCCAGCATCTGGTTGAGGATAATGGTCGTCGGGGTAGCCCGTGCGCTTGAAATCCAACATCAATTTGAAGCGGTCCCGCGGATCTTCGGCCTTGGAAACACAGCCTGCATTCCAGACTTTGCCATGCTACAGCTGCGAACTTAGATGCCGAATGCAGGCTGGGTGCTTTGGGCTCTGGCATCAAAATCGGACCAGAGCCAGCCTTCCCAGCAAGCCCACCAGTAAGACCGCCCACGGCCCCACCAAAAGGGCCAGCAGCCGAAGTGGCAGCACCAAAAGCAGCACCCGCCAAACCGCCCAGATTAAGAAAGGAGGCGTTGGCAGAGGTTTTCTGAATCTGGGGCACCGTTGATGCTGAGGTCAGCCATCCACCACTGCTGAAGTGTTCCAGATCGGTGTAGGTCGACATGACTCAGAGGGATGAACGGGAAGCAGACTCGGTATGCGCAAACACATGCTTCACTGGCACTTTCCAGCTCAATGTCGTCTGAGGGTTTGTCGGCTCTTCTTGTGCGAAGCATCGCATTCGGGCCAGTTGCTGCTCAACACAAGCGGTCAAACCTATGTGCACAGTGGCTTCCTCTGCAAGTGAAGGCCACGCGTCTGAGAATCGTACGGTGGGAGCGGTGCGCCTGTACGTCACATACAAAGCGAGCTCGCCGCGCAACATGTTCGCCAAGGGCACTGCTGCCGCGTGCACTAGTACACTAACAGCGACTGCTCGAATACTATGTGCAGCAAGCTTCTTCGAATTTGAGTGTCCTCCTCCCCCTCCTGCTCCTGCTCCTGGTCGTGCTCCTGCTCCTGCTCCTGCTGCTGCTGCTGCGGCGGTGGTTTCACGGCATCATTGAAAAGGAAAAATTGGAAGGGTGTTGCTCATGCGTGGTATAGCCTATCGGTATAGCAGTATAGCACTGGCTGGCCGTACTGTAGCATGCCGGCCATTTTTGTGATGTGCCGACATGTCACTTCTGTGGCTAAGGTTAGACTTGAAGAGGTTACAAGTGACTCAGCATGGTGCAGAGCAGAGCAGCAGTCTGCACCCAGAAACCCCACTCATCTCCGTCAGTCCACTTACCACCAGTTGACCTACTACGAAATCGTGTTCACACCGCCGGACACCTTTGAAACTCAAGGCAAGATTGCTGGTTAGTCTGATTCAGGGGTGTGGGATCCTTACCGGAAGGATGTGCACACTCCGCCGTGAGCACCAACCATTCACAGCGCAATAGCCACACTCAAGAGCTCACCTGCCAGCGCTGGTCCCATTGGAGTGTTTAAGTTCCTGACTTCCAGCACCAAAGGTTGTCAAAGGTCGATTCAACCAGGTCTCATGCATCAAAGAGTCTGAGGCAACAGCTTCTGCTCCAGCAGTTTCTGTTCTGGTTCAAGACTTCGCACCACAGCCGCTTCGAGGAGATCCTTCAAGCCGGATGGCGGAGGCCGTCTCGCGGTGCCCACTGAGACCAAGTTTACTTGAGGCATGGGACGGTCACCCGAGCAGGCAAATATGCGCCATGCAGCAGGCCAACCGAGGCCTTGGTCTGCCGAATTTTCCACGACTGCACCAAATCCAGTCGTTAGCTCGAGCCATGACCTACGACCCTGCAACAACACCGCGTTAGCACTCTGGGCACGGTGCCAGAGCTCGCACTGCAAGAGAATGGAGACAAGCCTCATCCAGCTGTCTGCATTGTTCGAATCTTGCTGATGTCGCCAGTAAGCTGATAGCCAGTGCACTCGGCACCTCCTGGCCAATGTCGTACCTGTGTCTGGAACTTATCTTTTTGCAGTCAGGGTTCTCAAATGCCGCAGGCTGCCAAAGATCGTTGAAACTGTCACCAGACGTGCGTTTGATTGGGCGTCGCCCCCATGTTGTCACAAAGAAGCCTCTTTTGAGTTCACGGGCAATTGTCACTGCAGCTGGGTCTTCCTGGAACGTGTTGCGACCATTGCCGCTCGACGTCCCGTAGACAAGGTTCTTCGAGTGGACTGCGTGGACTTTCGGTTCGTCACTGGGCTGCCTCACGACTCCACAAGATGAGTAAATATGGTGGGGAGCTTAATCCACACACGCACAAAAATTCATGTGTCACTTGCAGAACATGGGAAGCAAGCTGCCTGGTGGACCCGTGCCAGGTCGTCTAGCCAAAACCTCTTCGAACTGCTCTTCCACGAAATCCATAAACTCGGCCATGACAACAGCTTGCCGCCGGATGTCGTAACTGATGCCGACCAAATCAATCGTCTTCGCCTGTGACGGGTGCAGGTCGCACTTGACAGAACCACAGAACCGACACCAACCGACTTGTTCCGATCAGGCAGACTATATTGAATTCTTGAATCTGGCCAGAATCGCCTGCCCCTTCAGCCTCAAAAGGCCATCCACAAACTCCTGCCAACGTTGGAGTATGCGACAACCAGCAACAAGACCGCTGGGCCTACTGGAGTCAGACCCTTCCATGCAAGCACCTCTATCGACAACTCTCCGCTGCCATCTGTATCCAAAAGTTTGAACATGCTCCCGGTGGACTCGACAGTGATGTCCAAATGGGACAAGTACGCTTGCATGTCTTCGCGACTCAAAAGAAGTTCCAGCTGATCAAAGGTTATGCTTTCTTCTTCTTCGACGTCCACATGCCCGAACATGGCTTTGAAGGCTTGGATATGGTCTTCCCGCAACCGGATCTGGTCCATGATGACTTGATCTTTGTCTGCTTGCGCCATCTCGAAGGCATGTTCGCAAAAGAAACCTGTAACCACGTTCGCCATGCAGAAAAGCATGAACATAACGTAGACCAACAACCTTGGCAATTTCGACATGCTAGCAGGCAGATTCTCCACGCAAAGACATTACACCAACAAGTGGCATTCCAAGCCTCTCGGGTACAGAAGATGGTAGGTGTTAGGGCAGACTAACCCGTTACCCTAAAGCAGTGTCCTTCTTTTGGCACCGTTGCGCGAAAGTCCGGACGTCTGCACTTCCGTGACACTCGGGCGGAAGCAGACCAAACGTCTGACCCTTTCGTGACTGTCGGACAGACCAAAACGAGAACAAGCGGAAACAAGAACGGCACTCTACGCTGAAACCAGGCAGTGCACGGACGCTGAGACACAACGAGGCCACCGGAACGACCGGACTGACTGACCTGACCGGAAAAACAGATGACCCGACCGGGAAAACGCAAGACCGACCTGACCGGGCGACCAAGCGACCGGCCTGACCTGCCGGGATCGGGTTATGGCGACCTGTGAATGCATAGACAAGCTTTTTTGTTCTCATCGTGGAACTCGATTATGAGGTTGTTTTCCGCGATGCCCGAGAAGTCAACCACATCAGGCACGATCGCATTGCTGTAGCCCATGATTTCACTGCGCTTTGCCCCAGTTTCCTCCACACAGGTTCGACAAGTTGGGACCATTGCCAAGAATCCAGATACTGAGTATGAAGATATGACGAACCGGAATTGCCAAAAGGGGTGTGTTTAACATATATGATGAACCGATTCGCCAAAAGACGGGGGCGCATCTAAAATATAATGACATACGATGAACAGGAAGCGCCAAATGACGGGATGTGTTTGAAACATATGATGATCCGGAATCGCCACATCAGGGGGCGTGCTTCAGATGTATAGTGAAGCGGAATCGCCAAATGAGGGGGCGTCGGCGTGTTTAAGATATATGATAGCTTCGAATCACCAAATGAAGGGGCTTGTCCAAGGTATCTGATGAACCGCAATCGCCACAGAGTGTCAGTAATTGCAACTTGGTTTCTATGGGTTTTGTATTTGCTGGTCTTTGTCCCAAACATGTTCAAGATATCTATATGTGTATATATATATATATATTTATTTCTATTTATTTATTGAACCGGAATCGCCAGATGAGCGGTCGGGGGCGTGTTTATGATATATGATGAACCGGAATCGATATCGCCAAATCAGATGTATGACATGAAGAGAAATCGCCAAATGACGGGGCCGTGTATAAGATATATTGCGAATCTGTAATATTGTGTTAATGGGTATTGCAAGCTGGTTGCTGTCGCTAAATAGGGGAGCGCATGTAAGATATATGGTGAATCCGAATCGCCAAATGAGGGGGCGCGATTAGGATATATGATGTTATCGCCAAGTGAGGGGCGCGCTGAAGATAAATGGCGAAACCGACTCGCAACAGGAGGAGCGGAGTTTAAGATACATGATGAACCCGAATCGCCAAAATGAGAGCGTTTTAAGATATATGATGAATCCAAACCGCTAATGAGGGGGCATGTTTAAGATATATGATGAACCGGCGTTGCGACTCGGTTTCTATGGAGTTTGTGTTAGTTGTTCGTGTTTCCATTGTTTTCAACTGGGTTATCACCAAATGAGGGGACGTGTTTAAGACATACAATGAACCGGATTCGCCAAATGAGGGCATGATATGTGATGAACCGTAATCGCCACACGACCCCACACGACCGGCCGTGTTTAAGAGGTACGATGAACCGGAATCACCACATGAGGGTTGTGTTTAAGATCAATGTTGAACCGGAATCGCCAAATGAGGGGCGTGTTTAAGGCCTATCTACCCGTTCAGGTCGGATTCTTTTAATCGACAAATGGCAATGAAAGGGCATGCGTGTTCAAGATATATGATGAACCGGAATTGCCGAAGGAGGGGTCGTGTTTAAGATATATGACGAATCCCAAACACCGCGTGAGGGGGCATGTTTAAGCTATATGATGAACCGGAATCGCCAAATGAGGAAGCGTGGCTATATGATGGATCCAAATCGCCAAATGAGGGTGTTTAAGATATATGATGACTCCGAATCACCAACTGAGGGGGCGTGTTCAAGACATGTGATGAGCCCGAATCACCCAATGAGGGCGAGTGCTGAAGATATGATGACCGTAATCGCCAAATGAGGGGGCGTGTTTAAGATATATGATGAACCGGCTTGGTGTCTATGGGTTTTGTGTAAGTTGCTTGTACTGTTTTTTATTGCTTTCGACCGTCAATTCGATGAACGAGGGGGGTGTTCAAAATATATCATGAGCGGGAATCGTCAAATGACGGGGCATGTTTTAGATATATGGTGAACCGGAAATGCCAAATAAGCGGGTGTGCTTAAGATAGATGATGAAATGGAACCCTCCAAAAGAAGGGTGTATTTAATATGCACGATGAGTCCAAATCGCCAAGTGCGGGGGCATGTGTAAGATACATGTTGAACCGGAATCGGCAAATGAGGGTGCGTGTTGAAGATATATGAACCAGTTCAGATCGATAAAGGGGGCATGTTTAAGATATAAAACGAACCGGCAATGCAACCTGGTTGTTCTGGGGCTTGTGTTAGTTGTTCGTGTGTTTTATTGTTTTGAAGCTTCTCCGGGTTATCGCCAAATGAAGGGCCTTTTGAAGAACCGGAATCGCCAAATGAGGGGGCATGTTTAAGATATACGAGCCGGGGGCATGTTTAAGATATATGATGAACCGGAAACGCCAAATCATGGGGCATGTTTAAGATACATGGTGAACCGGGCGTTTAACATATACGACGAATCCAAATCGCCACATGAGGGAGCATGTTTAAGATATGTGATGAACCGGAATCACCAAATGAGAATCACCAAATGAAGGGGGCGTGTTGAAGATATGTGATGCATCCGAATCGCGGGCGTGTTGAAAATATATGATGCTTCCGTAACTGCAATTTGGCTTCTTTGGGTTTTGTAGTATTTCTTCTTGGTCCCTTAACTGGCCCTAAACCCTGAACCCTGAAGTGGCCAAGTGACCAGCAAAAAATTGCTAAGTGACACAAAACGGTGCGGATCCGAAGTGGCTAAGTGACCCGGAAAAAGTTGCCAGGTGACCTCTGCCCCTGTTCTGCTGAGTCTCTATCTCTCACTTCCGCAGTTACAGGGCTTTGTGTAAGTTGTTCGGGTTTTCGTTGTTTTCGAACACCAATTATTGGTTATCGCCAAATGAGGGGGCATGTTTACGAAATGCGATGAGCCGGAATCACCAAATGGGGGCGCGCGTGTGTGTGTGTGTGTGTGTGTGTGTGTGCGTGTGTGTGTGTGTGTGTGTGCGTGCGTGCGTGCGTGCGTGATATATATTTTGAGCCGGAATTGCAAAATGAGGGGTCCGGTCACCCAGCAGTCGTTCACATCAACCGGATCCAGTCACCCGTTCAGGTCGGTCCGGTCACCCGGTCAGGTCAGTCAGGTCAGGTCAGTCCGGTCACATGTTCCAGTCGGTCGGTCACCCGGTCAGGTCCGGTCACCCGGTCAGGTCAGTCCGGTCACCTGTTCCGGTCGGTCAGGTCAGTCTGGTCAACCGTTCAGGTCGGTCCGGTCATCCGG